TCTTTTCTGAGGATGGGCCACCATAACAGTCAAGGAAATATCCCACCATGGGTATCACATACATCAGAAGCTCACGTTAGATCTGGTTTGTACAGGTAGTCCTCGACTAACAACAGCTCATTGAGTGACTGTTCAAGATTACAGTGGCACTGAAGTCACATAAGTGACTTATGACTGTTTTTTACACTTGCGACCATCCTCACTGTCACGTGATCAAAATTCAGGCCACTGACTCAAAGTTATGGCAGTTTCAGTGTCCCAGGGTCATGGGATCCCCCTGTGCAACCTTCTCTCAAGCAAAGCCAATGAGGACGCCAGATTCAATTAACAACCGTGTTCATGGCGTAACTACTCCAGTGATTCACTTGACAACTGTGGCAAGAAAGGTCGTAAATGGGTCCAAATTTACTTAACAACTGTCTCGCTTAACAACAAAAATTTGGGGCTCAATTGTAAGTCAAGGATTACCTGTATCTCAAAGCAATTGAGGCATAATTTCAGAATGGAGATCTAGGCTTCGTGTGTGTGTGTGTGTGTGTGTGTGTGTGTGTGTGGTCAGATTATTCTCTAGCCTCTACGAAATGGTGTCACTTCCATTCAGCCCTGCTGGCCTTAGCCAGTGGCAGTGCCCTTGATTTGAACTCAGCTCCTGGTAGGATGACGCAAGCCAATGGCATGTAGTAAATGGCAGACCGTCATCTCCAAGTTACCTCTGCAGTGAATTGTTCTGGTAGGTTTGTGACACTTACTTTTCTTCTTATTTTGACAGGCCTTTGGGAATGCCAAGACAGCACACAACAACAATTCAAGTCGCTTTGGCAAATTTATTCAAGTAAATTATCAGGAGACTGGCACTGTGCGTGGGTAAGTGGCAATGAGCAGTGACTAAAGAGCTTTAGGCATGAATGGTTTGCAGCTGTTAGTAGCTTTATATGCATGATTAGAATGTAAAACATCCTGTGTAAATCTGGGCTGTAGCTGCTTGTCTGGGAAAGAGGTGGGCTTGTCATGTAGGAGAAATAATTGACTTGATATAGGTGTCTTTTGTTAAGGAAAGCAACTTCCTACATTCTTTTCATTACAACTTTTCGGTTCAATCACAGGGGAGATGGAAAAAATTCTGAAATATGTATTTTTAATTAATTGATATAATAAATTGTTGAGCAACTCCTCTCCACTTAGATATTTTTCTCTAGATTTCTTTGGCTCTAGTTTGGATAGTACAGATCATTCATAGCTATTGGAATCCGAAACAAATGTTTTTTTCAAGACCGTTACAATGTTATGAATGCAAATGGAAGGACCCTTAAGGTACTATGCCTTCAGATCAGAAAATAAGCTATTCTAGATTGATTCCACTAAGACATTATTAATTAGCCCATTTTCAAAAGTAGAAGAAAATATTATGCTCAATTATATGAAGGACCAGCACAAAAATTGATGGTTGTCTGACAATCTTCTGGAGGTATAACAGTTTAAAAGTATATTAAAGCAGAAAAATGTCTGAAAAAGCAGAACTTACTCTGTGATATTACTTTGTGAAATATTTGGGTTTGTAGAATTTCCAGGTTTTGAAAGGCCTAGCTGATCATTGTGCTGTATTTTCAGCTCTTTAGGTAGAATCTTCCAATTCTATTAATGACTTGGTAAAAACTCTATAATCTTCCTTTATTCTCTGCTTCAGTTTCTTTAAAGCTATTGTTTTTCCTTGTCAAAAAACAAGGAAACAAAACTAGTAATTTACCTGAGCAGTACACTGTCATAGTTACAGATTTTATGTCGTCTGTTATCTTCCTGAAGTTTTAAGAGCAAGCAGGATATAAAAATCCTGTTTTTGTTGCTACATCTTGTGTTTTTTTCTGCAATCACATTTAGGATTAATAAATGTGAACAACTTTGGGCCCCCAAATGTATCACTCAGAAAACATTAAGACATATATTTTTCTATAACAATTTTGGCATAATTGTTCATCTGAGGTGCCAAGAATAGCACCTGACTTTGGCTCTGAGGAAGTTATATCCATCTGACCTTTTCTTTGATACAGAATATTAATGAATAGGGCTATGATATTGCAACATGTAGATAAATAAAAACCTGTTAAAATTTTTATCTCTGTTACTGAAGGATGTTTGGGGCATTCATGACACTTCTGCTTTTACAGTGCCTTAGCAAATTGCTTTTCATATTCTTTTATCTGCTAAATACATTTGATGGTATCCATTTAATGGATAGTGCTACAGGTTGTCCAGCCAAGTTGGGGTAAAAGAGATATACATATACTGTACATATATAAAATTCAGTTTTGTCCCATATGTCTTCTGAGTATTTATATTAAAAATGTCCCATCCTTCTAATACATGGGTACCATTTAGAAAGTGTATCTTTGTAAAAAAAAAATTAAGAGTCTAATCTAAAAGCTAAAGAATTAGAATAGCTCCAGGATGGATGCAATACTGTAATACTAATATGGGCAGGCGACATCACCATGATATAGTGACTCATCAGGTCATCATATTTTGCAGCACAGTTCAAAGGAAGCCCAAATTTTGCAGTAATTAGGGTACATATATTTCTTTTGGGAAATGGAAAATGCTACCAAGAAAGAAAGTGAAAGAGATGGATTCAGTTACAGGATTGTTTTATCCCTTGTATGAATTAGGGCTCCCCCCACCCCCCAAGTACAGTATTCTTCTCATACAATGCTTTGCCATTTCTTTTTCTTCTAGAGCTTATGTTGAAAAGTATCTACTAGAAAAGTCCAGACTAGTCTATCAGGAACATAATGAAAGGTGAGTAACTAACGAAATAACATATATAAGCTACTGGAACAAATAAAGGAAGATAAATCAAAACAACTATTAGAATTATCGGAGTATAATTATTTCACTGGGTTATAAACTGTGCGTGCCTGCTTTTCACATTTTGGAAGCGATGGTTCTTATCCAAAATATGGAATGACATACTTATTGCTGACTAATTCATGTCCCAGCTTTGAGGGCTTGTTGTTATAATCCTGTTTTTAACTTCTTGGAAATTAGTAGTCAGTAATAAAGGTTCCCATGAAATTCCTGGGCTCCTAGGAATTCCAAAATTTTCTAAGCAAGGATTGCAGGTCAAGAGCAGGAGCTCACATAAACAGTTGTGTTTCTTGCTCAGAAATTACATTGTTCTTCATAATGGATTGCACACCCTTCAATGTGCAAGGAAGTTAGAGGGAAACGTGCTGCAGTAGTTTATTAACACTGCACTCCAGTTTAAATTGTACTTGCTTCTTACACGGAGACAGGAAAGAGAACAGTGGGTTATTTCCTCCCCGTGCCCCCTCCAGCAATTTGTATAAGATGGAAGGTTGTGGTGTTTTTCTTTATTATTATTTTCAGCATAGATCTTCCACCACATTGAAAACTGAAAAATGACACACCGGCCTCCGCAAAAAGAGATCAGATTTATGAATAATCGTACAAAACTTAACAAGTTAGAAAGAAGTAAGACCCTGCTTACATATCTGTGAAGACATCTTTCAGGAAATAATCTTGGAGCACTTTTTCCTATTTTGCTACTTTATTGTTACCACTTTGTTTTTGTATACAGGAAGCCCTCAACTTACGACCACAATTGAGCCCAAAATTTCTGTTGATAAGTGAGACATTTGTTAAGTGAATTTTGACCGAGTTTACAACCTTTCTTGCCACAATTGTTCAGTGAATCACTGCAGTTGTTAAGTGACAAATTAATTTTTTTCAGTCACTAAATGAATTGTTGTAAATGGAGGACTTCCTGTATATATAATCACCTTGGATTTAGAAAAAGCAAGATAAGGTAGTACTAGGTTTAGGTTTTATACTTGCAGCCATGAGTTCCAGTAATACAAAGGACTCCATGCTGTTGAGTCACCACCTTTTTTTCCAGTTCCTTCCTGATATGCCAATAATTTGTATATTTCCCACTGTTGTCTATCTGTTGTCTCATTTTTTTTACTGTAATACATTTTTACTTGTTATCAGGAACTACCATGTATTTTATTACCTGCTGGCAGGAGCAAGCGAAGAAGAGAAATCTGCTTTTCACCTTAAACAGCCTGATGAATATCACTACCTTAATCAGGTGGGAATATGGAAGCAGTTTTGTGTACCTGTGTTTTACTGTAGAGCAATGGGCTATTCTCGCAATGGTATTTTAAAACTATTGTTCATGTCATCCGCTCAGAAAAGATCAGCAACTGATCATTACGATAGAGAACTGTTATGAAATAAAAGATAATTGGATCGTAGATTTTCAAAAGAATGTATAATTTTCCAAGCAAGTCTAATATTAACAGCTAATAGATGTTTATTATTTTATTTTCCCATGTTTGCACATCTTAAACAACTTGCATGTTTTCCTAATTCTTTTGCTTGGTAGCATGATGTTTTAATATTTTTACAAATGTCCATTAATCCTAACTGCCTGTAAATAATTGAAATTATGGGGATACTGCATCTTGTACTAACATTTCACAACATTTATATAATTTGTTTTCTTGAGTACCCAGGGGTTTTGAATGCAATAAAACCAAAGATGGAAGAACAGTTAAGGTGCTAAAATGCTATCCCATTAGAATTATGTAACATAATTAAATACTTTTAAGATTGAATCCTAAATTACTTTCCTTCCACTAGTCAAATGGTACAAAACACAGCAGGTTTTTCAGTATAAGATAATGTGAGATCACTACTAATGATTCCTCTCTGCATTTGTTATTCATTGCTTCAGTAGGAAGCGAGTGGGGAAATCTTAAATAGAGTCCTAGATAGCTTAATGATTGAATTATCACTGAAGGAGTCATACAGGTATATTTGAAATTTTTAAAAGTAGAACTTTTAAGTTTTGCTTTGATTTCCTATTTTAAAAACTTCCTGGGATGGATAGCCAGAGAATCTGGCAATCAGATAATACCTAACCTTTATATCATTAGTTTTACAAATTGAATTGTAATTTTAGGTTTCAGTTTTACCCAAATGACTTCTGTTTGGTCACAATAAGAAATATTTGAGAACTTTTATTGAAAAGCTTATAAAACTACTTTTAACGAGATGGGAATCTTAATTTTAATTTAGATTATAAAATTATTAAATATCACAGATCATTTTAATGTTGGAAATTCATCAGACCAGTGCTGGTAGTTTTGTGGAGTGCATAGAAGGCTCTTCTTGGTTTTGGAGTGATTTATTCAGTTACTTATTTTGCAGTATATGTATATCACCCCAAGCAGAGACTTGTCTGCCTCTTCACCAGCACTACATTAAAAAGGTTGAAAGATAGTCGGTCTACTTTACGTAATTGTTTGGGCAATGAACAAAATATATACAATGGAACATTCTTAAATGAGGTAGAAATGCCAACACATTCTACAATATCCTCCAGTTTAATTATAAAATGAAAAGGCTTTTCAGTAACATGATAAAATTGTGTGGGGTACACTTTCTCAAAGCAAGGTGAACAGTTACAGGAACACGGAGGAAGGTAGTGATGCATTTCTGCAGTGGGAAATTTGCCTGACATTTAATGCCTACAGACACAGAAGACAAGTAGAAAGAGATTGTTGTGTGGGATTTGGAATGCTACTTACCCAATCTGCCTTGCTTTCAGATGACAAAGAAACCCCCTAAACACAGCTGGGATGACTGTTACTATGACTCTGAGCCGGTCAGTACAAGTCCATCCATCCATCCATTCTGGGTTACTGGTGATAGGCCTTTCCTTGCCTTTCGGCTTTGCTCCAAGATGCAAAGCAAATGCAGAATCAGTTGCTTTTTATTAACAGTTGATGGCCTCAACTGTTAAGTACTTTTCTCTTAAGTAGTTCTCGCGGTCATTTTTCTGTAGTTATCTTTTTTAAAAATGGGAAAGTATCATGTCATAGGACGGTGCAACTAGAATTGTGTATAACATTTTCTCTTGCTTCTGTTTTCCAAAATGCAGACAAATAAACTTTGCCCAGAATAATTTTTGCAGGATAATATTTGATATAATATATTCTCTAGAGGAGGGTGTCAGACTCGCGGCGTCACGGGGGGGGTATCATGTGACATATCATGATTCCCCCCCCCCTTGGCTAAACCAGACGTCGCCAGCGCATGGCACATCCAGCCTACGAGTTTGACAGCCCTGCTCTAGATAGAAATACATTCATTTTAAAATCCATGTCACTTCTTGAATCCTATCTGATTTCAGTGACCTGGTTCACGCAAGTTTTGTTTTGTTCTTGGCTTAGCAGGATGTGTGAATCCATCCATTATGTCCAATTCTTATGAGTAAACCAGGCCACTTTGGCACTATCCTCAGTTAATTGTGGCTTAAAAACCCCTAATTATTAGGTGCATGCAGTTATAGATACATCAGTGGAATTCAGTAAAATTGATTTAACCTTCGGTCCAGGACTGCATTTGATTTTATGTATGTATGAAATCAATTTGTATGACTGTCCATCTCATGATAGTGACTGTGGATGATGGTCAACACAGAATTATAACTCAATATTTTTTTTAGAACAATAGTAATAACAGCCTTGGAAACAACTCCTAGGGGCCTCTCCAAGTTGTAACCAAAGTGTAGTTTGTAAAGTGAAAGGAAAAAAAATGATTAAGTAACTGAAGAATAATCGTTTTAATTCCATTTGAATTAACTGCTCTGATCTTTTAATATAATTCCCATTTTATTTCCAAAAGCATGATTATTCTAATCGCATGTCAACAATTCTAACTTGTTTACAAATAAGATGTAATGAAAGAATGTTTTAAGTCATTTTTATTGAGAATATATATTTTTCCATTTCCATTTTATTGTTTTTAAACTGCAAGAACTAGACGGCTCAGTAAAATACTTGTTTTTAAATCAGCAGAAGCAAATGGTTCAGTGCAAAGATTTCAATTAGCTCAACTCTCTGGAACTGAGTTGGATTTATTGCGGGAAACTATAGATATCAAATCATTTTTTTTTTCTGCTAGCCTGCCTGATAGTGAACATTGCTCAGTTAAGCAGAGGGATATCGGAAAAGGTCTGTCCTATATTGTTGAAGCTTTATAAAACTTTTTTTGGTGGGGGTCTGTCAAACTTGAGATTCCAGGAAATTAAAATAGCTACCCTTAAAGTATTAATCAGCACAGTGGTAGTAAATGCTCTCTTTATCCTTGACCTATTTTAAGTTTTTCTATTAAAATACAAAGTTCTTGTATTTTAATACAAGAGCTACAGTCTTGTATTCTAGACTGTAACTCTTATATTTTATCTTTTCTCTATTGATCTAGGACTGTGATGGTGAACCAATGGCACGCCTGCCAGAGCCCTCTCTGTGAGCATGTGTGCCATTGCCAGTTGATCTTCTGGTTTCTGGCAACTGGTCTTCGTGGGCGCTGGAGCACCAGAAAATGGCCCCCAAAATGCCCAGAAAACAGGCTGGTTTGGGGGTCATTTTCCGAGCTCTTTTCAGGCTGGTTTTGGGCCATTTTTGGGCTCGTTTTCAGGTGAAAACAGCCCGAAAAGCACCCTGAAAACAGCCAAAAAAGGCATGCACATGCCGGCCAGCTGGTCTTCAGGTTTCCGGCACTCCAACACGCACACATGCACACACGTTTCGGTTTGGGCACTCAATGCCAAAAAGATTCGCCATCACTGATCTAGGACAACTTCCAACTTTGCTTTGTATTTCCTTCATGGTTTCTTTTTGCTCTTGTTCCTCTTCTCTTCAAGTATCAATTTGATTTACATCCTTGCCAGATAAAGTAGGGTCTCCTATGCTCAGACCCTCTTTCTAAATAAAAACTCAGCCTTTTACAGCCTTCTGCAATAGTCTTACCAAACTGCACAGCACCCCAAAAACAAAACAAAAAACCCGTCCCAGTGTTCAAACGGCAACATCACTACATGAATTAAGCATGAAGAGTTAAAAATGCTGTCGTGAGAAACAGCAGGGAATAGAACGAAGCTCTCTTACCTCATGCCCCAGTTAGCTTCCTATATCTATTAATCCTGAGTAGAAAGGTATAAATAATAGAAATAGAAATTCTCCCTGATACTTGCATGTTATTTTATTTTTGAAAAACGGAATGCAGTGCTAGGGTGGAGGTGGAGTGTCGCATGGTCTCTGAAATAGTCCAGCTTTGTCTTAAAAAACATTTTACAGATTCTTCAAATAACTTGTTGGTGTTCGAGCCCACTCTGTTGAATTGAAGGTTATGTAATATAATGTCTACTCTCGAATGATTAAAAATACTGTGAAGTATGCAGCCTGTAACTCTATAGGTTGAAGCTGTACAGTGATTGATAAGTCCCAAGGGGGAAAAAAATCTTGCATAATTCACAAGACAGCTGAATGGCAAAGGATATCTAGCGTTTGTCTTCTCCGTTGGTTTTTAACTGCAGAGCACGAAGCCTAGGTACGAACTATGTTTACTGTTCCATGTAGACAAACTGAACACAGTTATTCTTACAAAGATGGAAGGTCTCTAGGAAGAAGCCTGAGTTTTTCTTCTTTTAGACCTATTCCTCCTTTCAGAAGTGGTCATGTCCCAGCATGTGTTTTTCTTAAAGTTATCTTAGGAATCTTTCATTCAGCTGGGGCAATTCCTCCACCACTTATTTATAACTAAATTTGTTTCTCATGTTACACGACATTGTGAAGCGTGGTATGGAGAATGGACTTCAGTACAGTTTGATGATTATTCTGATTCCAAATCTGTTCACCATCCCAGTGTTGTACAGATTGAACTTTATGTCGTATTGTTAATATTTTTGTAACTTTCGGATGCCTGTTTTTCCCACGCTAATAATTATTCCTTGTATTGGACTCGATAGGATTGCTTCTCTGTTGAAGGTGAGGACTTGAAGCATGATTTTGAACGTTTGCAGCTAGCTATGGAGATGGTGGGCTTTCTTCCCAAGACCCGCAGGCAGTAAGTTATTTCTCTTTAGAAGGTGATTGTGAATTGACCTTTTAATAGTTACTGTGCCCAACATTGTGTCTGTTAGTGGAAAATATTAAATATTAACCATTTTAACCCTATGAATCATGGATGGCATTTTCTAATTATTCCCATATAACAAATTATGGAAAAGCAGGAAAATCTGCCTTACCTATGTATTTATACAATTTATGAGAATTGATTTATGTGTGATTTAGGGAACCATACATATACCACAAGGTGGCTTTAAGTTGAAGATACAAAAACACCAACTTCATTAACATGTAATAACACTTGATTTACGTGAACTTAATTTAATTTAATTTCTTTCATTTATTGTTCTTGCTTTGCGCTCTTAGGATATTTTCCCTTCTGTCAGCAATACTACACTTGGGTAACATCTGTTATAAGAAAAAAACCTACCGGGACGATTCCATAGATATCTGTAATCCAGAAGTCTTGCCTATTGTCTCAGAGTTACTTGAGGTAAGATATCACTTTTGGACATAAGCCTTCCACTTTTCCCCCTCTTTTACGTTTTCTTCTATTTCTACATAATATATAAAGATACATGTGAAAGTTATTGGATTCCATATTGGTAGTATATTAGTTTCTGGAGTAAGATAAGTGAGGTTAAATGGTCCTCCATAAAATAATACCTCCAATGTATCCACATTTACTTATTAGGACTTTTCACTGATATTATTGAAACAACTTTTAATAAACTGAAGTTTGCAAAATATATCTCATGTGATGGCTGTCTATTTCAGTGTTCTTTAAAGTGCTTGTTTAAAAGACAAAATCTTTCCCCTTCATCTGGCATCAGAAGCCAGTTAATTGGTTGAACTTGAATGTATTTTATAGCATCTCCTTTGTCACCAAAGCCCTTTACCACAGATGGCTTATTAAGGTATTCACGGTTTGAGCTAGCTCAAAATCTCTTTGCTGTAAAATATGCAATCATTTAAAGTACTGTGTGTTCACAGTTGCCTTTTTGAAAAAGAACTCAAGGTCAGAGGTTCACAAAATCTTCTAATCTGAGCCAGCTTGAAACTGGAACAAAACTGCAATAATGAGAGGCAGGCCAAGGATTCCTTGAGATGCTATTTTGCATTTTATTTTACTAGCCAGAGAGAGAGAGAGTGTTGTAGGAAAGCAATGTTGAATAAATGCTGCCTTTTTACAGATACTGTGTTAGAGGAATGTGAATCTCTGTCCAACTGGAATGATATCCTTTCAGTGAATCATAACTCACAAAGGAGTTTTAACCTCTCCAAGTATACGGTCTGCTCAATATTTTCTGCCACAGATCTTAGGGGTATTTGTTGTACGTGCCAGTAGTTTCAAAGCAAGAGACGACTGCCTTTTCTGTTTCAAGGTGTCCCACCGACCCAAAACTTTGTGTCTTTGTGCCTTTTAAGGAGGCAAATATTCTCTGATGGGTACCAGTAGATTCACTTAGCGTTTCTGACCCCTCCATTGTAGTCTCGGTGCTGTCTCTAGAATTGCTGTTGCCTTGCTTGTGACACTACCATTTTTTTCTGCTCTCCACAAGTTAGCTCTATGCCACCATCAGTTCCTCCCAAGAAGAGGAGATTGTTAGACATGGTTCTATGTAAGAGCATGTAGAAAGTACACAATTGTTGTGGTCCGCCGGCGGACTGCGGAACTGGCAGTAGAGTTGGACAGCGAGGAGGTTGGGGAGGAACATGGGCCAGTCCTGGAGTCTGGGGAAGACTCTGATGAGGGCTCTGTGTCGGAGGCAGAGAGGGAGCCAAGGCCATCTGGGAGTTATGTGCAGCCTCCTGAGTCTGACATCAGCGAGGCAGGAGAACAGCGGGAGCCTGTTCCCAGTGTGCGTATGCGTCGAGCTCCCAGAAAACAAGAACAATGAAGAAAAAAGGGGCGACTTGGGAGTAAGGCTTGGAGATGAGAGGCTTGGCCCCTCCCATAAGACATAAAAGAGGAGCAAACGGACATGAGCAGGAAGCAATTTGCAGGAAGCAATTAGTTCATCTGGTTGGTTCAGGCTCTGAGAAGTTCTGTTAGACTCTGTGCTAAGTTTGGCCTTGCTCTGCATTTGGCAATTAGGTCTCTGATAGCATCACCAGAGAGATAAGGTGGGTATTTATCAACATTCCCCTGGAAGACTGTGGCAACTCGAGCAGACATCTGTCGGAATCTTCATAGACTGTTGGGGAAGACTTGCGAGCTGTGAATGACTATAAATCACAGCCGTTTAAAGAGGGTTTTTGGGACTAAGATTGTGATTTATGCTTTCTTGGGAAGCTTAGGTCACAACAACGATACTGTTTTTTCCTCTAGTCCAGGGGTGTCAAACTCACGGCGCCATGGCAGCAACACGTGATGTATCAGGCCTTTTTGCCCCCTTCACTAAACCACGCGGGTTCCACCACAAAACCGTGTTCGACTAAACCGCGTAGCTGACGTCATCAAGAGGGCGACAACAGCGCGGAGACAGAAGCAC